GAGACCCCCGTGCTCGGGGCAGGGCGGGGGTGGGGGGTCCCACCGGGCCCCTGGGGGGTCCGGGCAGGGGTCCCAGTGTCTGTGTCACCCCCCGGCCGTGTGGCTGTACCTGGCACTGGTGGCACTGGGAGGGTCACACGGGGGGGGTCACACGGGGGGGTCCCACATGTCTTCTGTCCCCAGGCCATGTGGCTGTACCTGGCAGGGGTCACACAGAGTGGCTGTCACACTGTCCCTGTCCTTGTCCCCAGGCCATGTTGGGGGTCCTGAGCCCCCAACCCCCCCGTGGGGGTCCCGCAGGGGGGCCCGGGGGGGGCACAGGGTCCCCGCGGGTCCCCTCCCCTGGAGGGGGCAGCCGGGCCGGGGGTCCCGGCCAGGGCAGGGACCCCCCCGGGGGTCTCGGGGGTCCCGCGGGTCGCCGGTGCCCCGGGCGGGGGGGGGGACGGGCCCGAGGGGCCCCCCCCGGAGCCCCCCCGTGCCCGGGCGGTGACGCACGGCCCCGCTAATCCGGGCCCGGCCCGGGCCAGACCGGGACAAGGTGGGGCTGCGGTGCCGCGGGGGGCTCGGCCCCACCCCGGGAGGGGCTTTGGGGTGCGCCCACCCCCCCGGGAGGGCGGGGATCCCCCCGGGCACCCCTGGGCGCGCAGGAGGCGGGGCCAGGCCCGGGTCAGTCCCGGGTGAGCCGAGCGGGGCCGGGTCAGTCCCGGGTGACCGCTGGGTCCGGGCGGGGGGGGGGAGCTGTCCCTGTCCCTGTCCCCAGGCCATGTGGCTGTACGCGGCGCTGCTGGCGCTGCTCTGGGCGCTGGGCTGGCTGCTGCGCGACCGCCGCACGCTGCCCACGGTCAGCGACAAGCACGTCTTCATCACGGGCTGCGACAGCGGCTTCGGCAGGCTGCTGGCCCGGCGGCTGGCCCGGCGCGGCTTCCGCGTGCTGGCCGCCTGCCTGACCCCGCAGGGCGCCGAGAGCCTGCGCGGGGACAGCGCCGGGACACAGCTCAGCACCACCCTGCTCGATGTCACCCGCTCCGACAGCATCCGCAGCGCCGCCGAGTGGGTGCAGAGCCAGGTGGGCGACAAAGGTGAGGGGGGGGATTGGGGAGGGGCTGTAGGGCAGGGGGGACACAGAGGGACAAGGGCTAAAGCAGGGGACGGGGGGATGAGGAGTCCCCAAGGAGGGGCTGTGGGGGACAGGGGGGCACAAGGACATGAGAAGGGGATGGGGGGCACATGGGGACACTTTGGGGGTCCCAGGGGACACTCTGTGGGGGTGCCAGGGGTCACTCTGGGGGTGCCATTCTGGGGTTCCCCACATTCTTTGTCCCCCCAGGGCTGTTTGGGCTGGTGAACAACGCGGGCATTGCCAACCCCATCGGCCCCACGGAGTGGATGGACATCGAGGACTTCCGGCGCGTCATGGCCGTCAACGCCCTGGGGGCCATCGAGGTGACGCTGCGGCTGCTGCCGCTGCTGAAGCGCGCGCGGGGCCGCGTGGTCAACACCTCCAGCGTGCTGGGCCGCATCTCCGCCAACGGCGGCGGCTACTGCATCTCCAAGTACTGCATCGAGGCCTTCTCCGACAGCCTCAGGTGGGCGCTGGGCCCGGGCACGGCCTGAGCTGAGCCCTGCTGGGCATGGCCTGATCCACCCTGGGCACGGCCTGAGCTGAGCCCTGGGCACGGGCTGAGCCTTCCTGGTTGTGCCCTGATGCCCCTGCCCACCCCCTGACCCCTCTGATCACCCCGTGCCCCCCTCCAGGCGGGACATGCGGCACTTTGGGGTCAAGGTCAGCATCGTGGAGCCGGGGTTCTTCAAGACCAACGTGACGGACCTGGACGCGCTGGAGGCGTCGCTGCGGCAGCGCTGGGAGCGCCTGGAGCCGGCCACGCGCAGCAGCTACGGGGAGCACTTCCTGCCCCAGTGTGAGCGGGGCTGGGGGGCACGGGCCGGGACCCCCGCACCCTGAGCCCCACAGCTCAGCGGCACCCTGCCTCAGTTTCCCTTTCCTGCATCCCTCAAATTCAGTGTCTCACCCTGCCTCAGTTTCCCTTTTCTGCATCCCTCAAATTCAGTGTCTCACCCTGCCTCAGTTTCCCTTTTCTGACTCTTTCACCTCCTCAAGTTCATCATCTCACCCTGCCTCAGTTTCCCCTCCTGACCCATTTCCTGCACCCCCCAAACCCCAAAATTCAGTGTCTCATCCCTGCCTCAGTTTCCCTTTTCCCACTCTTCCCCACCTCCCCCAGCCCCCAAATTCCACAATGTCCCCCCTGCCTCAGTTTCGCTTTTCCTGCCTCAGTTTCCCCTCTCCACCTGCCCCATGTCCCCCCCGTCCCTGTCCCCCCCGTGTCCCCCTGACACTGTCCTGTGTCCCTGTCCCCCCCATGTCCCCTCTGACCCTGTCCCCCCATGTCCCCCCCGTGTCCCCTGGCTG